GGAGATTTGTGAAGAGATGTTTACTAAATGAATCAATTTGATGAAAGAATAAGTTTGTTTAAAATATTGAGTCTGTTCTTCTTCTTTAATGTTGGCAAAATCTGAGTCTAAAGCGCAGTTTGTTTGGACGAATCGTTTTCGTGAACCGGTTCTTTAAAGTGAACAGTTCACCAAACACGGACTGAATCGTTCAAAACAATCGGTCGCGTCAATCAATACTCACAGTTTGCTCAATTTGAGACATACCTGACAGTCCCTTGGACTCAGAAAAAAACTAATTCTCAGAGAATATGCTAGTCTAACTTGAAGTAAGACACACAATGCTGAAAGAATTGATGAAGTGATTAATTTCTTTCAGACTGAGATACGAAGCATGCGCCGAACAAACATGCAACAGCTACAAGGGGGCGAATTTGGGGGACGGAGACCCGGGGGGATTTCCGGAGCCAGTCCTTATGTCACTGCCGTTTGCATTTATCCAGCGATCACTTCTGTTTCTGTATAGGGAAAATACAGAGTAGAATCCCGGTTAAGAAAAAAGGGGCATTTGAACGTCTCTCGTTTATATCCTACGTGAAAAACGGGACAAGAAATCATAAATGTTTGCAAGGCTGTATTTGATTTAAAAAAGCTACACAACGTTAAATTATAAATGCATAAAACTATTTCATCATATTTTAAAATGTCATTTATTCTTACATAATCATTCACCAATCATTCTAATTTACTGATTTGGTGTAAAGGAAAAGTGACAAAAAAGTGATCGAAGGATCAAAGCAGTAGCGAAAAAATAAGGATTTTTATTTTTTTTTTACAAGACAAAGATTACAGTACCAACACAGGAAAATAATTTTCCACTATAGAGCCTTTCTAAAGATGAAAATTAGAGAGACGAATGTTGTAGTTAATTATGAAAGTGCAGACGACTGCTGTTGATGTATAGTAAGTAACTAACACAAAATCATATGTATGCCTAAATTTGTGAGGTTGTAATAGATACTTGCTGTGCCCTTAAATGGACACTTGAGGGCATTCTCTCTCTCTCTCTCTCTCTCTCTCTCTCTCTCTCTGTGTGTGTGTGTGTGTGTGTGTGTGTTTTTGGGGGGTTTTTGTGTTTGTGTGTGTTTGTGTGTGTGTGCGAGAGGAATGTATATATATATATATATATATATATATATATATATATATATATATATATATATATATATATATATATATATATATATATATATATATATATATATATATATATATATATATATATATATATATATATATATATATATATATATATATATATATATATATATATATATATATATATATATATATATATATATATATATATATATATATATATATATATATATATATATATATATATATATATATATATATATATATATATATATATATATATATATATATATATATATATATATATATATATATATATATATATATATATATATATATATATATATATATATATATATATATATATATATATATATATATATATATATATATATATATATATATATATATATATATATATATATATATATATATATATATATATATATATATATATATATATATATATATATATATATATATATATATATATATATATATATATATATATATATATATATATATATATATATATATATATATATATATATATATATATATATATATATATATATATATATATATATATATATATATAGTGGTGGGTCGTTATCGGCATTAACGTGCTACGTTAACGCGAGACTCTTATCGGGTGATAAAAGAAATATCGCCGTTTATCTATTCTCTAAGTTGGTTTGGGAGCTAAACGTATTCTACACAAGCTATGATGACTTTCACCTTGATATTTTAGCACGTATGTACCTGACCAAATTGCACTGTAGGTGGTGAGAATAAGTCTTCAAACCTGTGTGTACTCTTACTGTAAAATTACCACTTCAAATGTGACGTACTAACGTTGATACAGTTCACTAGAGTAAATGAATCTGATTAATGTTAGCTCCATATCTAATTATCAGGCATATATATATATATATATATATATATATATGTATATATGTATATATATGTATATATATGTATATATATATATATATATATGTATATATATGTATATATATGTATATATATATATATATATATATATATATATATATATATATATATATATATATATATATATGTATATGTGATCCTTTATTTTTTACTGTGTAAAATCTAGAGATGTATAGGTGTGTTTAGCTTCTTCCTGCACACTCTCCTCCTTTCGAAGACATCTGGATCTGAACTCATAAACCAGTAGAGCCACCACGGCAACGCCCAGCACAGCCGAAAGAGCCAATAGGATGACAGCATTACGACAGAGGCCATCTTATGAGGGATAAAGTGTTAAACTGTTAGCAGTGTAAAAATGTTTACATTATTTCCTTATTTATTGTGGAGCTGACTAATAAGTGTTAGTATCACAACTGCCATACCTGAGCATGTTTTACAGTGTGTGTTGATGTCCAGATGTGTGGTCTGGTTGCTGATGGGATTCTTCACCACACAGCTGTAGGTGTTTTTATCCTGAATTTCCACCTCCAGAGGTAGAGAGAGACTGATGCTGAGGTCAGATGCACTGATGCTGGACAATACACTGTTTTCTTTGTACCAGGAGAGACTCACAAATCTCACATTCACCACTGAACACAGCAGCACACATCTGGACTCTGGTGATGTATTTGGGCATGGAGATAAGTAAGTGGAAATGACTGGAATCGAGGGAGGAGCTAGAAAACATTACAGAATATATTAGATTTAAATAAAGTATCCACTGTCTGCCTTAAAAAACTTTATTGAGATTTGTTAATAGGAGCTACACTGACCACAGAAAACAGGAAGTGAAATGATTTTCCAGGAACCTTTTATTCACAAAAACAGTGTACATTTTAAGGCAATAGTATGATAGCTTGATTGGGTGAATTTGGATGAAATCTGAGAGAAGTATAAATCTCATAAAATGAAACTAATGACAAAACTGGCCAATTTGACTGAATTTGATCGTTTAATAAAGTGGTCACCAAACTTGTTCCTGGAGGGCCGGTGTCCTGCAGATTTTAGCTCCAGTCTTAATTAAACACACCTGAACAAGCTAATCAGCTCTTATTTGGTATACTTGAAACACCCAGGCAGGTGTTCTTTGTACCTCGCTTAAATGATCTAAGATGATTTTGCCGATCCTGGATCTTTTAATCTTGATAACTGATCTCTGGCTAATTTGGTTCTTCAAACAAGTTCGTAAATCAGATTAGAGTGTCTGGATGAACTGATCTGAGATCGCTGCGTGTGTTGTGAAGGATCTATCTCGATCCTCGAAATCACGATCAGCAATGCAACGATTGGCTGACGACACAGCAGCGTAATGACATCATCTGATTAATATTCAATTATCCATGTGAGCAAAATTACATCAAATTAGTAGTCGACGGTTTGTTAAATATGACAAGATAATAACTTTCCACATATGCTGTGAACTGCAGGCTTCATGTGTCAAGATCATTCATCATGTATTTCAATCAATGTATTTAGTTCTACATTTAGAAAATATTTTCTTTATTACAGTAGCTGTTTTTTTTTAATCGCTGTATGGAATAACTGGATGTTTACAAAAGCATTTTGATATTGGTTAAGGCGTCTGCAATTTTTCAATAAATTTTCTCTTTGTACTTTCATTTAAAGGGTGCAGATTGCATAAGTTTTGTTAATATAACTTTATGTATTTTATTAATAACTATAACTTTATATATATAGTTATTTTTTTAACTATTTTCCCAAGTGTATATAACTACTACTGTAAGAAAATATCATAATTCGGTACTTTCTCTATTATCTTTGCTTGAACTGACCCGATCTAATCCTGTTTATATGAATTGAACCTGCTTCCGATCAGGTTTGACCTAGCAGAACTGTTGCTATGACAACAACTCTCAGATCAGCTTTGAAGAACGAAACGATCCTGGATCATGTCAAATCGTCAATACGCAAATCCAGCTAACTGAGTAATCCACGTACGAAGAACGGACCCCAGGTGTGTTGAGGCAAGTTAGAGCTAAACCCTGCAGGGACACCGGCCCTCCAGGACCGAGATTGGTGACCCCTGGTTTAATATAACTGTTTTGCAACCACAATGAATCCAACTTCTGACTTCAGTTTTGATCATCATCATCATCATCATCATCATCAGTAGGCTAACAATTCAATTAGATCAAATTTGTATTTGTATTGTACTTTCTTTTAATATAATTTGATTTATGCAAATGGAATTATTTTAATTCCTAAATTCTTAATGCTCCTTTTCTGGCTGTTCTGAAAAGATGTCCATATTCATCATTCAATCGAATTAAACGCAAATGAAACATGTTTATATTCTGTGTATTTGATGAAGCAGTCAACGCATGCTGGCAAAACTTAAATCAGCCATTAATAACTGATATAAATGAAAGATAAATCACTTTTGTGTAAGCAGGAGAGAATCTTGAGTCTAATAAAGAGTCAAATTGTACATTAGCCTATACTGTAACATGTTTTATTCCAGAAGATTTAAGCTGGTTTTAGTTCTTAGTTTTTTTGTTTTTATAATAATAATAATAATAATAATAATTTTTTATTTATATAGCGCCTTTCCAGAGCTCAAGGACACTTTACAAGGAATGCAACAAAAAGATAAACAAACATACATGAGGTCAAATATAACAAACTTAAATAACACAAACAAGACCTAAGAGGCATATGAGCAGAGTAGTGGTGGATCAGATTAAGTGGTCAGTTTGGCAGATCAGAAGCGAAGCATTCAGAAAATAAGTGAGTCTTAAGTAAGGATTTGAATTCAGAGATATTATTAGCAGAGCAGGGTGAGTGTGGTAAAGAGTTCCAGAGTTTGGGTGCAATAACACTAAATGATCTGCCCCCCATTGAAGAGAGGCGGTACCGAGGGACAGCAAGAAGGCCAGAGTCAGCAGACCGTAAAGAGCGAGTTAGGGTGTAGGGGACAAGCATGTTGCAGAGATAGGAGGGTGCAAGGTTATTTAAGGATCTATGACAGTCTCAGCATCCTTGCTACTGATGAAGGGACGCAGTTGTGAAATGGGACGTAAGTGAAAGAATGCAGATTTAGTGACAGATTTAATGTGTGACTGAAAAGAGAGTGTGGAGTCAAAGATTACAC